TTTTTGTGGTTAACAGGTGATCGAAAGTTGAATAGCCTTTTCTAAAACCTGCCTGTTCATATGGTTGGTATTCGTCTAATTTCCTTGTTAGTCGAGTAGTTATGACTTTGGTGAGTATTTTAAACAGGTGTGACAATAGGCTGATGGGTCTGTAGTTTTCCAATTTTCGACTATCACCTTTCTTGTGCAATAAAATTACTTTAGAGTTGTTCCAGCTCTTAGGGACTTTGCCCTGATGTAAACAACTGTCCACAAGCTTAGTTACAATTGCAATTAGTTCCTTACCTCCTTCTAATATCATATCTGTGGTAATACTATCTTCTCCTGCAGCTTTATTTCTCTTCATATTTTCCAATGCTGTAGTTACCTCTGAAATTGTTACTTTTGGCATTATTTCTGATCCAACATTTTTTATTAATTTCCGTGCTGGTCTCATCTCATCATCTTGTTGATGTGATCTGTAAAGTTCTGTGTAAAATTCTTCTATTCGTGTCAGTATGTTTTCTCTACTTGTGATTTCATTTTCGTCTTTTCCTATTAATGATATCATCTGACGTCGTCCTAGTGTCGGTCTGAGACATTTCATACTCTTATTTTTTTCAATAGTTGTTGTTATTAATTTTTCGTTTTCTTTTCTTTTTTGTTGTCTGATTTCTTTTCTAATCTGCCTAATAAGTTCTCTATACTCGTCGGTTCCCCTTTTGTTAGATTTATTTAAGATCTTCCTTCTTTCTATTTGTTGTAATATTTCTTTGTCTAATTCATTGTATGTTTTCGGTTTTTTCAGTTGCAGAAGGCTTTTATTCACTGTTTCGGTAATAAGGTTATTCAAATCATCAATATCATTGGAGTTTATCTGCTGCATGCTAACTTGATTTAATTCATGCACTATCTTTTTATTAAATTCACTATTTTTGATTTCTTCAGATGTCCATTTGTATCTTTTTTCATGTATTCTTTTTCTTTCTAGTTTTTTGTTAATTACTAGTTTTGTTCTTATTAGTCTATGATCGCTTCCTAGGTCAAACTGATTTAATACTGATACGTCTTCTACTAGGTTTCTATTCTTCGTTAGTTCTTTGTTTCTTAACGAAACAATACATATTCCGAGAGAAATCTGGGCTTATTAATGGAATAGGTTCGAGATATGGAAATCAATTACCGGAAGCTTAGACTCGTCAGATGGCGAATATTTCAGTGAATGTATAAATAATTTAATCCGCGATGAGCATCAAATCGAAAACCTATTAAAAAATCAAATATCGGTTACCACTTCTGTTATTAAGAACTTCAACGCCACAATCCGGAAATTACAAATAGATGAGAAAACATCCAACAATAATATTAAAAAAATTCAACAGTCAATAATGGCTATCTCAGAAAAATTAAAATTCTATCGATCTCAAATCGATATGCTAAACTTGTGTGAATTACTAATGGAAAGCTATTTATTTATCGAAGACTCGTTAAATGATATAGTGAATGCCATAATCTTTGCTGGATAAAAATATTAGCTCAATCATCACCCCGTTTGATTTAATTGAATCGCTTCTACTTCAGTCGTCAGAGAGTTGACCCCTAATAATCATACAAACAAGCTGAATTTTGCAGAGAATATTAATTTTGGGACCCCAAAAAAGACGCAAAAAAATTAACCACTTTTACCCCTGGGCTTCCAACTAAAACCACCCTCGTAGGGGGGTAAAAACCCAAAAAATCGATTTAACAAGAATCTGTACACTGTAGAAAATTATGCTTCAAATAAAAAATGCAACTGAGATAATTTTAAACGTTTATAAGCATTTGCGTAAGAATGGACCGTTCTTTTAGAAACAACTCTTGATGCGACCGTCGATTTTTCATGTCAGTTACGCGCGCGAAATCAATGTTCAATAAAATTTGTATTAGCTCGAAGCTAAACATTCTATATTATTCTATAACACATCTGTATCCTTAAAATCATAACGTTTTATTCTTAAAATCATACGTCCCTTGAAGGGAATCCCCTAAAAATTGAAAGGATTCTAAATGAAGATTTAAATTTTGTGATACAAATTATAGATGGCATATACAGTGAAGCAGTAAAAAGTTAACCCGTTATAATTGTGGTACTCGTAAAATACCGACACGGAAGAGTGGAGGGGATAACTGTCGAGCTCGGTTTTTTTAGATTGAACGTCAAATTAAAGCGCACTGGAAAAAATTTGCAATATTTTGATTTCTATCTCACGTAGAACCTCCATTTTTTATAAACTGAAATTTTTACTATTATTTCGTAAAAAAATATTTAAACTTTATTGATGTATAATAATTATAAATAATAAAATACATTTATTTCTTTTATTTAATTTTATAGTTGTTTCTAGTGCATTTAGAAGATACGTAGCTAATAAGCATAAATAATATTTTTGTAGTTTACCCCTTTACTTTTTCGTGGCGGTAATTTACGAGTACCATCATTTTTACAGGTTATAACTTTTTACTTCTTCTCGGTATTCAGCTCTTAATGTTAATAAATAATAGAAATATGATGCTAAAATAAAAAAATGCTATCTTGTTTCCTATTGGTCATAGAAGGTTTTGTTCTGTTTAGAAAGTGTGCTTTTTCACAAGATTTTTATTGAGCATACTAACAAGTGTGTGACATAAAAAATGTCAAAGTTTTTATATTTGTTTATAAGCTAAAAAAATCCATTTTCAAACTGTTTTTTAATAACAAATTTTATAAAATTTTGCAGTTTTTTTATTAGTTATACCTTAATAGAATCGATTTCCACTTACAGAATACCTCTAGAGTGAGTGCCTAGGCAAGAACAGTTGTTTAAATGATCGCTCTCCGGGGATAAGCAAACTGAATAACTTTTTGGTCGATCTGTTTGAAATTTGGCACATTTTAATAACTCATTAACTGACAAAATTTTAGGTAGTTATGTTATATGCCATTATTCAAAAAACAAAGGTATTAACATTTACAAATTACTGCAAAATTAAGTGTTTTTTGCAACCTTCTTGGTGAATTCTTTATGTATTTTAATTTAGAAACTCACACATAGAAGAACATTTAAAAACCTACAATTTTTATTCGAACATTTTTCTCTAAACTACGCACGAAACGTTTTATAGACAAAAAGTGACTTTTTAACTTTTTAAGATTGTTTAAAACAAAAACAAAGCAAAATCGACTATACGTCTTGATGTATTTTTTATCAGCTACTCCTCATATACTTTTCAAAACATTCAAATATCTGTATAAGCTTTTTACGGTAAATAAATGATTTTTTCCCAGATAGACAGATATATAGCGTACAACACTTGCAAATGATAAAATTATTTAAAAGAAATTGGTGTTCTGTTCGGGCAACGTTCGGCGTGTGTTTCCTTCATTTTACGATAGTCATAATCGTCCTACCCAGAGGATAATTCACAGTGTGGTGTATAAATTTGAGTCCACTGGTTCAGTAAACAATCAACCAAAACTCGAAACGCAAGATCTGCCGAAAACATGGCCGCTTTCCATGAGAGTATGCAGGAGAATCCGAGAGAGTCAATTTAACGTCGCTCAAAGGAACTCGGCCTTTCACAGACCACAGCTTGGCGAATTTTGCGTCTTGACCTACACCCTTAAATTATTAAATTGACCTAGAAGATAAAGGTAAACAACCAAAGACATCGACATGTGTTTGCTGAATGGGCTCTAAAATAGTTAGAAAGTAAATCTAATTTTTAACGAAAAATTATTTTCAGCAGAATCCCGCAAAAGTCAGTGTTTGGTGTGGATTTTGGGTTGGCGGTGTTATCACCGCCAACGGCGAGCACGATTATTCAATGATTACCAGCTTTTTTTGACGTAAATTAGATGATATAGACCCAAATGACATATTGTTTCAACAGAACGGCGCTATGAGCCACATTTAATATACTGCACGAACGATTTGAGAATATAGTCATTTCACGTAAAGGGAACATGAATTGGTCACAGAGATCTTGTAATTTGACCACATTAGATTCTTTCTTGCAAAATTTTGTTCTTAAGCCATAGGTCTATATGAATAAGCATGTCATTGGTCAAATTTAAAATTCAAAAATCGAAATTAAATATTTCGGATGAGCGATACCCAGCGATGACGCGGTAGACAATTGAACAATATTATATTCCATACATATGGAATCAAAGACTTTTCAAACGAATAAAAATTGTTGATGATATTTCGTACAAACCTTATTTTAGTTAAATCTAAAGGTGGAAAGTGCTTTATTAAGCACTTCTTATATGACAAAAGTAAATATTTAAATTATTTAATTCTATGAATGACTTCCACTGCATTAGAATATTTGATATATTTTAATCCTTAAACAATATGAACATAACAATTGATAAATACACTAGCAAAATACACTCATCGTTATATTTTCGCTTTTCTCTGTGTGTGTTCACTTAATTATCAAAATTTTTATATGTGTTAATACATTTGAGATAATTTTGGTTTATAGTTATAAATGTTGCTCTAGACATATTTTTAGACCAATTTCTATACCTCAGATACAATGGACCTTGGACGTATATGTTTTGTCGTTTTCTGTTTGTCTGTTTGTCTCTTTATACTATAACTTTTAAAAAAGATCATAGAATTTTTAACTTGGTTAATACGTTTCCCCTAATCCAAATAAGGTTATTAAAACTCTGAAGATGGCTACAGAAACCGAACAGAATGGCGACCAATTTTGGAGCAGGTTGGGATCAAAAAAGGATTGTTGAGCCAAAGATGATGATGATGAATCCAAAGAAAAACTATGATAAGTTTGGACTCGATAGACCAAAACTCACCAGCATTACAGATAACTCCGTAGCTACGTTTAAGAATTTTGCTAATTCCTTCATTACCCCATTGTATAGGTTTACCATTATCAACCACACTCTATATTATGGCTGTACGATTACGTGACAGACAATCACAGACAACTTAATAAATTTTCCCAATTTTATTAATATTTAAACTTACTTCTTATTGCCTTCAAAGTCTTCCAGTTCTACTCTTAAAGAGTATTCCTCGTTGTTAGTGAGCATATAGATATTTTCGTTTCCTAACCAAAATTCCTTGGACGGATCCCCAAATCCATTTTTGTAATCGTTCCAGTCCCTGTTGAAATTTTCTCTGGGGTAACCAAAGTCGTCTCTGCGTTGAATTACCTGAAAAAAAGAAGAATTGTTATTAGTATTTTCATTGTCATTGTCTTTATACTTATACAAAGTTGGCAAAGCATTAATTACACAGAAGCTCTTATATAGGCGAGTCTATAATAGGTCAGTAAAGAAAAAAATAACTGAAAAAATCTTATACAGCCTTTTGAAGGTTCTAAAAGGTATAACGAGGGATAGCTGAGGATAAATCCTTGAAGACGTACAGCTGATTTTGTTTTTTTAAGCAATCATTTTTTGTAGGGAAAATCATTTTCCCTTTTTGAAGCAAGGGAAAAAAAATCATTTTTTGTCTATAAAACGTTTCTTATAGATTTTAGAGAAAAAGGTTTAAATAAAACTTGTAGATCTTAAAAATCCTTTACTCTGTGAGTTTCTAAATGAAAACACACAAACAATTCATCTAGATAATTGCAAAAATCCTTATTTTTACAGTAATTTATAATAGTGTTAATACCTATGGTATTTGCATAATGACATGCATTATAACTACTTGAAATTATGGTAATAAACGAGTTATTAAAGTGTGCTAGATCTCAGCTAAATCAACCAAATAGTTCGTAAGATATTCAATTTGTTTAACTCTGAGAGCAATTATTATTTAAACAACTCTACTTGTCCAAAGAATTATTCTAGAGGTATCTAGTAGATCGCAATCGATTCTTTGAGGCTTCGATTCACTAATGGTGTTGGATAAGCGATAAGATTTAGTTTAACACTATCTATAACGAAGGTACTTCACCTTCCTTCGCGACTAACAATGCTGATCGTGATGTCTTAAGTGGGAACCTAGTCTCGGATACTCCTATCAATAAATATTTTTATCCTAAGATAAAAGATAAGACTCCCATAAATACGCTTAGTAACATTGTCTACAACATTCCATGCCTCTCTTGCAACAATTCCTACATCGTCCAAACATCTCAATTATTGAAATCACGTATTACACTACACAAAAGCGATTCTCGACTTCACCCTGACCGCTGTGCATTAGCCAAACATATCCATTCCACTGGTCATCTCATGGACTATACTAACAATACAATTCTTCACCGTGAGAACAATAAATCTAAAAGAGAGTTCATTGAAAGGTCTTATATTTTTCTTAACGATTTCTCCATCAATGTTAAGAGTGACATTAAGAATCTAAGCGATATATACCACTTCTTACTTAAATCAGATACCAAGAACAATACAACATCACAAATAACTAACTTGACTGATATATTCATTAACAACTAACCTACTTTAATAATAATTTTTATTAACTAAAAAAGATAACATTTCCTTGCTTTTCTTAGATACATCTCAATAAGATATTATTATAATAATACATGAACAATATAATATAATAAAAAAAAATTTAATTAAGAAAATCTAAAATAATATTTCCCTAAATTGGGATTTAACTTCATTCTGTTTTACCAATGAACCTTAACGACATAAAGATTCAAGCACTACTTGAATTGTCAGCACATGCGTTCTGACAAAACAGAACCTCACATTTAAACTTTCAAATAATCAAAAATTTAGTTATTGCCGACAATTCAAAGATTTACTTCCTTTTAAATGTAGTTAGATTGGTTTTTTCGATTGACCTTGGGTACACCTATGCGTTTAAGTTCAAAGCTACCATACATTTCCAACGGTAAAAAACTTGTTTTTTCACATAATAACAAAAAAACCACTATGTTGTTACTAGCTAAGTTTTGTAACATTCTAACTCTACAATTCTAAGTTACGATAAGATCAACAGTGTATTTAATAAACGTTCGGCAAAACAATTAATACACACTAGAGTCTTTCTTGCAGATTTCCCCAATATTTAAGAATTTACTGTATTAAGAAGCTGGAGGTGTTTTCACTTGAATATCCATTTTGTGTAGATGATCATCCCATTCTGGGTTTGGTTTTACAGTTTCTGGTGTGACTTTCGCTGTTTCCACTACTTTTTTCCATTCTTCTCTCTCTTTGATCTCTCTTTGTCTTTTCTATATTTCTAATTTTCATACACCTTAAGTCTTTTTTCACTTATTATGTGTCCATATCATCTAATTCTTTATGCTTTAATTGCTCTAACTATATTCTCTCGACCCATCCATTCTTGTATTTCGTGATTCATCCATTGTCTTGCATGCTCTTCGTTTTCGCTCTTTGGTCCCAGTATTTTTCTGAAATCTTCCTCTTAAAAAATTTTAATTGCTCTTTTTCTCCTACTGTTCATGTAAATGTTTCTGCAGCATATACTACTATTGGTCTTATGATCGTTTTGTAGATTTTCATTTTTGTGTTTCTACTTATCTTCTATTTTTATTTCTATAAATCGCTGTATTTGCCGCTTGAACTCTTCTTTTTATATCTACACTTTCATTTCTTCTGTTGACTAGTACTCCTAAATATTTGAATGTTTCAACCTCTTCGAAACTGTGTGAATGTATTGTCAGTTCCGCATCTCCTTGTCTTACTCCATTTTTTATTTTTAATATTTCTGTTCTTTCTCTTCCGGGGTCCATTTTTGCTTGTGAATCTCGCATTGTCATTTCTATCGTTCTTATACTTTTATTTTTTATATTACTCGCTTGTGCATTGGATCATTTTTCTTCTGTTTAGTTTGTCAAACGCCTGTTTAAAGTCTAGAAAAAGTATATGTGTTTCTCCGTCGTACTTGTATGTTTTTTCTATCAAGTGTTTTAGCGTATATATATAGCATCTATCGTGGATCTTCCTTTCTTAAAACGTTACTGGTAATCTCCTCTGCTTTATTCTGTATATATCTACATTTGTACATTTGGAGTATTACTTTATAGTTAGTATTATATATTTATATAAATAATATACATTACTTATTAGTCTAAATATTTCTTACAAAATAATAGAAAAATTCAATAACTTTTTGATGGAAAAACTTGTTAGTTTGTTTTTCCGGGATTTTCCGAGGTAAAAGTAGACTAGATCTACCTCAGTTAAAAACATGAACGTTCTGCGTTCCATAGAAGGTGAAATAATGCAAATTTTTCCAGCGCGATTCAATTTGGAGTTCCATTCTTTAAAAACAGAGCTCGGAAAGTTTTCCCTTCTATTTTAACGGATTATAACTTTTTACACCTTCTCTGTATATGCCATCTATAAATTGGATAAGAAAATCTAGATTTTTACTTACAATCTATTAAATTTTCAGCTTTTAAGGATAATAAACAATAAGGATTTTAATAAAAAAATGCTAACTTGGTTTCTATTGGTCATAGAAGGTTTTTTTTAAGATTGTGTTTTTTCACCAGCTTTTCACTGAGCCTACTTAAAAGCGCGTGACAAAACATATCAGAGTTAATAATAATCTTTTTACCTTAAAAATCGGCCCTTTTCAAACGGTTTTTTATTGATAATTTTGATAAAATTTTAACCTGTTTGGGAAGTAAAGTTGATTAAATAATCGCTCTCCCAGAGAAACAAAATGAATAACTTACAAACTATTTAGTCAATCTAGATGACATTTAGCACACTTCAATAACTCATTAGTTGTCACAATTTCAAGTAGTTATATTATATGCCATTGTTCAAAAACCAACGTTTTATAAAAGTTTATAAAATAATGCAAAAATAATGATTTTGTAAAATTATCTCGGTCAAATATTTATGTAATTTAATTTAAAACTCGCAAATTAAAGACCTGTGTTAAAGAACTGAATCTACAACTTTTTTTAGAATTTTTTTTCCAAACTCTATAAAAAACGTTTTATAAGCAAAGCATGATTTTTTCACTGTTTAGGTTTGTAAAAAAAACAAAGCAAAAGCTGCTGTAAATATTCAAGGATTTGCCATTATTTATCCCTCAAATATTTTTTAGAACCTCTAAAGATTTTTACGAGAAATCGATGATTTTTTCACAGATAGACTGGGGTAGGCAATGTTTTGATAAGGCTTAGTAGCAGCATAAATACAAAAGTGGCAAAATAAATTATTTGGCATTTAAAAGATCTATCATGTCATAAGGAAATTGTTTAAGAGCAAGACAAACTGAACTTTGTAGCCAATAAAACATAAAACCTCAACATTATTTAGATCACCTAATATTTCAAAAAATTAAAAAAAGGTAATTTTCAGTGATTGATTTATAAAACGATTTTTTATCAAATGTCGCTTGTTCCATCAACGAAGAATACATAATATATATAACGTTCATTAAACAGTAGACATTTAAGAAAAAATGGTCCAAACCAGTCCCAAGCAATAAATCTTAACTTACCTAATCAATACCAAAGACAAAAACCCGTTCTGTAACGTTATTGCGGAAACCAAGAACATAAAAGCATTCCTAACACTTCCCATTGATCTAATAATGTCAAACTTTAGCCTTAACTAGTTTAATTCATTATTATTACTGGACCAGTCCACCTTATTTGGTTAAAGCAGGTTAAATGAGAATGGTACAGTCTTCTACCGACGAACACAGGGACGAAACGTATTATGAACGTTTATAAAATAGGTTTGTGGTTCGTTATTATTTGTAAAATATTGTAGGTCATCAGAAAGTACCCATGTTTTTTACTGTAATATATTAAAATTATTATTTTTTTCTTAGTACGTGGTTTTTTTTAATATTTTTTTCCTTGGAAAAATAAAAAATATTTAGTATAAGCTATCAAATTATTCTTCTTCTGGTGGTGGCTTTTGGTTTCCACAGAAGGTTAGCTACAATTTTAGAAAATTGTCCGATTGGAAAAGCGATTTGATATTTGAAAAACCGGTCCTCCAGTGTCTAGGATTGTCCTCTGCCCGGAACTCTCCTTTCTTCCATCTTACCCTCAATTAGCTATATATATATATATATATATATATATATATATATATATATATATATATATATATTGTTATGTTTCTTCTTTCCCAACCAAAGAAAAATAAATAAAAAGATCCATCGAAAAAAAAATTTTAAGATATCCGTATAAACAAATTGTATATAGTAATTTAAGATAAGATTTAGTGTAGATAAG